CGGTGCACCAGTTGAGGGCGGGCCACTGGGGCCGCTCGCTCCAATACCTGCTCCGGATCGGCCGCCACCCCTCCGTGGCATGCCTGCAGTGCCCCGATAAGCGGTGCCCCGCGGCGCTCTGCGCCGTGTGCCGGGAGGAGGCGGACGTGCCGGAGCACGTCTTGCTCCGCTGCCCGGCCCTCGCTGGCGCCCGCCTGCGGCTAACTGGCAGCATTTACATCGACCCGTCGCGGCTGCGGGACGCCGACCTGGTGGCTGCCTTGGAGGCCGGCTACCTTCGCCATAGGGAGCCTCTCGGCTATGGTCCTCCGTAAGGAGGTCCCAGGGGGAACAACAACAACAACAACCAGTGGACACGCCCTGGCCTGAGGCCAAAGGTGGTGGACTGGCTGTTTTCCCGTCAATTTCATTATCTTTTTCAGTTTGAAGGGCAGTAAAACCAAGCTAAAGGGCGGTTAACGGTGAATCATGATGTGGGACCTCTTATTATCTGCCTTGGTAAGAATTCGAATCAGGTTGCGGATTAATTGATGCCCTTTCCTTGTCGCTATCTTGACAACTCTCCTCACCACTTGGCAAAGGGCGGTCGTTGTGATCGAGGCCGGGCTGAGTCTGCCACCAAGTCCCAGCTTATAACGCCTGAGGCAGATATGCTGCTAGGCTGCTGCTGATGTCTAGCTGTTGACAGACCAACTTCTGGCTCATGCCACCATGCCACCAACACGTAGCCTTACTACGAAACGAGAGACTGTACTCCCTTTTCTCCACTGCCTTAAACGAAACCTATCAAATGAACCCGTCGGCTATTCGACTCTTACTCAGAGTAAGAGTCATTTCGCAAGGTCAGGTCACTGCTGAGGTGAGAGCAGATACCAAAGGCATGCATTCATCCAATTTTCCAGCTTCTAACATTAAAAAAGAAACTGTAAGAGCAGATATGTCGGAAAAATAGATGTCCGGATAATTTCGTTATACCCTGTAGGTCACAGGTCAAAGGTCATTTGGGTCGGGTTCATGAAATTTTCAGGGTAGGTGTGAAATTGATAGATGCGACGGTTCTGAAAGTTTCGTCGCGATCTGCCGCTTTTTACGCGAGTTATTCGCGAAAACCTTACGGGGGGGGGGTGCATCAACCCCCCCCCCTCGCCCTGTGCCGGCGAGGGTTAAAGGGACTATCCCACCTTTAACATGGGGTTTGAGTTGAGATAGCCAAGTTTGCGGCGAGGTTCAGAAACCACTATCTATCTAGGTTGCAACCCCCGCGGCCTCTTGGTGTTGAAGAAATTCGTTCCCTTCATTTGAAAATGGGCCTTGCGCAAGGCCCTATCTTCAACATGGAGCGACCGTTAGTGTGACGTCACCTCGTTCAGTCATTCTGATTTAAATGGGTTTTTTCGTTGAAAAATCGGCGCCGCAGTGATAGTGCATCGCCGATTCTCGAGGCACTTGGTTGGCGCAGCGTGTCAAGCCTGGTTACCCGTCGCGATCGTATGGGCGTTTTTAGAGCCCTGCACGACCCCCGCGCTCCGGTGGCGATCCGGTCTCTGTTCGTGGCACGCAGTAGCGTGAGTGAGCGCGCGACTCGGTCCATTGTTGCCGGAGCGCTTCAGCTGCCTGGATTTCGCCTCTCCATGTCGCGACGTGCGTTCTCGTACAGGGCCGCCTCCGCTTGGAATAGCCTGCCGTCATCCATCTCCGGCTGCAGCCGCAGAACCGCTTTTATCTCTGCGCTGAACAAGCATGCACCTTAGGGCGTCTTCCCCGCATTTTGTTTTTAGGGACATATTCATATAGCGTCTTTTATCAGCGTCACATGCTTTCGCATATTTTAATGTCTTTATTTTAGCTTTCATGCCAATTTGTTTTTTTATTATCTCACCGACGTAACCTCATCTGTGTACTTTGTCATTGACAAGAATCAATCATGAAGCCACGTTTGTGGGATGATTCGAAAATATACATCTGAAATCTGAAATCTGAAAAATCGCTTAAAACTTGGTCTGAACTTTGTTGTGGTGCCTACAGAGTAAAAAGAATCAGCTTTATGACAGTAATGTGGCCTGGGGAAGGAGGTAATTTTGGGCTGTGACGTCACATATTTGAAAGTTTGTGTTTGGAATATGGGAAGCCTAAGATGTTTAATGAAAAATAAATGCCAGAACCGTGTTCCTGGTCATCCAATCTATAAAGTCGGGCACAATTTAACTGGTTTTAACAACATTTTAGAAGGTGGGATAGTCCCTTTAACACGCGCAGTGGAAGGGGGGGGGGGGGCGGATTTCGCCCACCCCTCCTGTTATTCGCCAATAACTCGCGCCGCAAACATAATATTAATGTGAAATTTCGGCTACCTGTCGAGAATTGAATTGCGGATCTTTTCGTGCAAGAAATAAGAAAATCGGTTCACAACTTTTCTAGTAATAGCGGTGTAAAGTCAAACATCCTGCCGCCGCGGCGGCGCGGCGGCGCGGCGGCCGGCGCTAGCCGTTACGCGCCGCCTGAATTGTAGACTGTGCCGGGGCGGGACGGTTCCGTCTTTACATCGAGCTCCTTACCGCTGATTATATTAGATTCGCGTCAAATTCGGTGAGAAGACTGAGAAATGTACAGGCAATCATATGGTCAAAGAATTTCGAAAATCGGCCGGTAACAACTTGAGTTATGAGTGTGTAAACACAAAATTGTGATTGCCGCGTTTCCCGCGTCGGCCGATCCCGCTTCAGGCGGCGACATCTTACCCTTAGCAGACTTCTAACTGCCATATTTATTGTTGGATCATCTAGAAATTCACCATACATACTCACAAATGTTTGTTCTTTCGTATAGTGAAAGAAAAAAGAAAATCGGCCGGTAACTTTTTGAGTTATCGGCGTGTAAACGCAAAAAAAGTCGCTCATATGGCAGATTTGACCACATTTGACCTCATTTGACCTTGAAGATATTGACCTAGGGTCATGAAATTCACACACAACAGAGTTCCCCATGGCCTCCACCTACCCTCTAAATTTCGTTTTTCTAGCTCCAGTGGGAGCTGAGATCTTAGGGGGGGGGCGACATCCGCCCCCCCTTCCACTGGGCGTAGTACTCGCAACCCTTCCACTGCGCGTGTTAACCCTATTAGTGGCAGGGGGGTTGTTTTCATCCACCCCTCAGGTTTTTCGGGAATATCTCCGAAACCGCTGAAGCAACGATGCTGAAATTTTCTGACTTTTCCTAAAACTAAATTGGGCACATTCCCTGAAAATTTCAAGTTCATACCTTTACCAGGGGCGGCTCCAGAGCACTGGGAAGTGGGGGGTCCTATTCGTGAAGCGAGTCATTTGGGCGAAGATCACGATGCTGATGTATTATAACTGTATACACCAGTTATACGAACAGTGAATGAAAGGTATCATGTGATAACATATACAAAGTTATTGTGCATCCTCTTTTGACACGTTTTTGCTATAATAGGCGGATCCAGGCGTCCAAAAACGGGGGTTATATTTTACCTCCCAACATACAGGGTGTCCCAGAATTACCCGGACATTTATTTTCTGGCTAAAAGTACGATTGCGCTCGATTTTAATGATATACAAGCATCATACTTTTATAAGATATCCCTTAGCTATCGAGCTTGGGCACTGTGTGCTTTTGGTGACCGGTAACGACTCGAGTCAAGTATTATCCAGAGTCAAGTAAGAGTAGTCCTTTTCCGTTTTCAGCTTAAGCCACTAATAGGCAACCATGGTAAATCAACTCCCGTTTTCAATTGTTAATATTAACAATTGTCTCAAATAAAACTTCAACATCCCGTTTTCAACTTTGTAAACGGGCTTTCGGCATGGTTTTTGCTGGAGAGCTTCAGCAGCTCATCTGCAAACAGTTAGGATTGAGCAAAGCGCAATTATATCAGCTAACGAAGCCAGAGAGAGCAAGAGATAAACCTGATTGACAAGCTTGGGCTCGGCCAAAAAGGGCCATGCACCAGTTGTCAAACGGGTGGTTGCTTGTCATGGACAACAAACGTCACTGATCTAGCTAAAAACTAGCTAAACGATAGATCAGGATTATCTAAAGAACATCAGTCTACTTTCCACCACTATCTTCGCAAAATTTTGGAATTTGGGGTCCCTCGCCTGAAAAATATGCGAAAACTACGGGAAAAGCAGCGAAAATCACTACAATTCACCCCAAAAATATAACATATACAACAAAAAATTAAATTGAAGCACACTTTGTGGTCTAACGAAGGTATTCTGTCATTTGAACCGCCCGAAAAAGGCGTGTGTAAACGTCAGATGGCCACAACGCCCCAACAGCAGAAACGGCCAGGCACCCGTCGAAAATCAAATTGTGAGACATTTTGAGCCACCGTGCACTCATTGGGCTTGATATGATGGCCCAACGACAGCCGTTAGCACAGAGTACTACTGCGGTAATATTCTACCAGTACAAAAACTGGATGCCGTAAACCAAATGGCCATGAACGGGTTTGTTTTGGAAACCAAATCTGTTGGAAGCCAAAGGTCCCGCCATGTTCAGACATGGAGCTTCTCCACTTCAGATGTAAAAAACGCGGCAAAAGTGGTGTAGGCAGCAATTTTTGTTTTGGGGGATAATGCTTTATGACCTGGGAACACTTTGATGTTAAGTTTATCTTATATGATCGTATTATCCTCCGGCAACAGGTCAAAGAAAACAGGCCTTCACCCAGTTTCGGGAGAGCCGTAAAACAACTGAGACCTGCAATGGCTGGCATTTTCAATCATTGTCGGCTGATCTTGTAACAAGCGTATCTATTGCATGTGCTATTTCACAGCCAACCTAGTTGACTATATAGGACAATAAAAAGAAAAAAGCGCAATCATGTTTGCCTTATTTTATACGCTAATTAACAATGTCCGGGTAATTCTGGGACACCCTGTAGGTGCCCTGACACCGCCTATGCATGACCAATACAATTGTAGTCGTTCTCTCATAAGAAAATTGTAACATAACAAGACCATTGCCACTGTTGTGGTGCACAATGCTGCTGTGCCCGGGCCGCTGCTCTGGTCCCAGTGCACCATGCCGGCGCAGGCAGCGCCGGCCAGCGGACGCCTGATTGGTCGCCTCAGGCGCTGTGTCTGTGAGCCCCGTGACCGGCCGCAAATACACAGTCTGGAACGGAGCCTCTGCGTTACAACATTGGCGACGAGGCGATTCGAACCGCGTGGGGAGATGGCGTGTGTTGGGAAGGCGCCAGAGTTTGACCCGGGAGTTGAATCGTTTGGATCCTACGCCAGAAGACTCGAGCAATATTTCATTGCTAACGGCATCACTGGTGAGGATCAGCAAGGCAAGAGGCGTGCCGTTTTCCTCAGTGTCGTCGGAGCAAGAACGTTCGGTCTGTTGGAAGACCTGGTGGCCCCGACAGCCGTGAGTGACTGCACCTACACTCACCTCGTGGATGTGCTGGAAGCTCATTTTGAGCCCCAGGCTTCGGTGATCGTGGCTCGATTCCGTTTCCACTCGTGCTGCAGAGGGGCCCAGGAAGGAGTCAGCGCGTTTCTGGCGCGGTTGCGGAAGCTGGCTAAGCCTTGCCAGTTTTCTGCCGGTATCTTGGAGGAGATGCTACGAGACCGCCTGGTTTGCGGCATCAGGAACGAGCGGCTGCAGTCGCGCTTACTGAGTGAGCCGCATCTGACGCTACCACTGGCGGTGGAGCTGGCGCAGGCTCACGAGTCTGCTGCCGCTAGTGCCGCAGAGCTCAGCGGGCACGAAGTCGGCGCGCCCGGCGACTCGATCGTGCAGCGGGTGGAGCGCGCCGCCGAGCGACGTGCCGGAGGTGCCGGCGGCGAGTTGGGGGCGCGGCGAGGCCCGCCGCGCCCTGCGACGGCCGCTGGCCCTCCTCAGCAGCGGCGAGATGTTCGAGGTGGAGGCTCGACGGAGTGCCCCCGATGTCTTCGAGATCATCTTCAGTCAGCGTGCCCGTTCCGGGGCCGGCGGTGCTTCGCCTGTGGCCAGCGCGGCCACATCCGAGTGGCCTGCGGACGGGGGAGTCAGCATCAGCTGCGCCAGCTGTCGGCCGAGGATCCACAGTCGGCGTCCGTGATGCAGTGCGGTGATGAGAGTGCCGAGCTGTCGCGCCGAGAGGTGGCGGCTCCCGCGAGTGATGAGGCGATCGATGAGGCCTACGCGATGTTTAGTGTGCGGCCCGAGAGTGAGCGACGACCGCCGCTGATGGTGAGCGTGGTGCTTGATGGAAAGACAGTGGACATGGAGCTGGATACGGGGGCGGCGGTGTCCGTCTGCTCCGACTCCGTGCTCCGTCAGCTCTGGCCGAGCGGCGGCCCGAGCCTGGAGCCGTGCAACGTCACGCTGAAGACCTACAGCGGCGAACAGCTATCGGTGTGCGGACAGGTAACGGTGAATGTCGAGCACGGTGGCCAGGCTGCCAGGCTGCCACTTATCATCGTGAAGGGAAGTGGGCCGTGTTTGTTTGGCCGAAACTGGCTGAGTCAGATCCGACTGGATTGGCCCACAGTGTGTCGTGTATCGTCCGCGTCTCGTGTGCAGCCGGTACTCGATGAGTTTCCAGATGTGTTCCGTGATGAGCTCGGCTGTTTTCGTGGTGGCGAGGTCACCATTGACGTGGATCCAGATGGGCAGCCGCGCTTCTTCAAGCCGAGGGCGGTTCCTCTGGCTTACCGGGAGGCCGTGGACGCGCAGCTGGAGAAGGAGATACAGCATGGACTCTGGGAACCCGTCCGCCACAGTAAGTGGGCTGCTCCCCTGGTGGTCGTTCCCAAGACTGACGGGAAAATTCGTATTTGTGGGGACTACCGACTGACTGTTAACCGGGCTGCGAAGGTAGACCAGTACCCCTTACCTCGTGTTGAGGAGCTCTTCTCAAAGTTGTCTGGTTGTCAGGTGTTTTCTAAGATCGATTTAAAGAGCGCCTATAACCAGCTGGTTCTGGATGAGAGGTCCCGTGAGTACTTGACTGTGAACACCCCTCGGGGACTGCTGAGACCGCTGTGACTCACCTTTGGGTACGCCTCTGCGGTGTCACTGTTTCAGCGTACACTCGAGACGTTGTTAGCAGATATACCCGGGGTGGGGGTATTTCTAGACGATCTAGTAGTAGCGGGTGCCACCGAGGAAAGCCACGACTCCACTCTGCGGGTCGTCCTCGGGCGTTTGAATGAGGCCGGCCTTCGTGTCAACCGCGAGAAATGTAGGTTTGGCGTAGGAAGCATGACGTATCTGGGACTCAGGATTAGTAGTAAGGGGATCGAGACTACGGATGAAAAAACGGCGACCATTCGGGAGGCTCCGGAACCGCGGAATGTCAGTGAGCTGCGCCGTTGGCTAGGACTGATAAATTACTATGCAAAGTTCCTTAAGAACTTGGCCAGCACCCTAGCTCCTTTGTACCGATTGCTGCGCAAGGATCAAAAATGGCAGTGGACCGAGACCGAAAGCGCCTCTTTCTGCGCTGCTAAGGACATGCTGATCAGACCGCCCGTTTTGGCTCATTTTGACCCAGCTTTGCCGGTAGTAGTGGCCTGCGACGCGGGCCCCGTCGGTGTGGGCTGCGTGCTGAGTCAGCTCACCCGAGATGGGGAACGTCCTATCGCATATTACTCGCGGTCGTTGAGTGATACAGAGTCGCGGTATTCGCAGACTGATCGGGAGGCGCTAGCGATAGTGACGGGTGTTAAAAAGTTCCATTACTTCTTAGCAGGCCGTACATTCACGATTCAGACCGACCATAAGCCTCTACTTGGGATTTTGGGAGAACAGAAGCCCCTGCCGTTAATGACGTCACCACGTATGGTTCGATGGGCTCTGTTACTCGGAGCCTACGATTACAGGCTGGAGTACCGGCCCGGCTCCAAACAGGGGCACTGTGACGCGCTCAGCCGGCTTCCCACAGCGGGCTCCCCGCCTGCCAGCGTGCCAGTGCCGGCTGAGATGGTTCACTTGTTAGAATTTTTGGATGCGTCACCGGTAACTGCGGCTCAGATCAGGTTGTGGACCTCTCGGGATCCGATCCTCTCGGCGGTTCATAGATGTGTGCGGGACGGCGGCTGGGAATCAGTGGTTGATTTGGGCCCCGAGTTTCAGCCGTACAAGAGCCGTATGGGCGAACTTAGCATCCAAGAGGGCTGTGTTTTGTGGGGCTCACGAGTCGTAATACCGCCTCAAGGCAGACAGAGTCTGCTCAAGCTCTTACATGAGGGTCACCCTGGGGAAAGTCGCTCAAAAATGTTAGCCCGGATGTACGTTTGGTGGCCTAAGATGGATGATGATATTCGCGATGTTGTCCGTGGATGTGGGAAATGTCAGCAGCTGAAGGGCAGAGCCCCCGAGGCGCCTCTGCACCCCTGGCGATGGCCATCACGGCCATGGGAGAGAGTGCACATCGATTACTGTGAGGCAAATGGTCGAATGTTCTTGATCCTGATCGACGCGCATTCTAAGTGGTTAGATGTGTATCCGACTCGTGCATCTGACTCCGAAACAACGATTGATAAATTGCGGATGTCATTTGCCAGCTGGGGTCTGCCGAATGTGATCGTGACCGACAATGCCCAGGCGTTTGTGTCCCGACAATTTGAGCTGTTTTGTCACACGAATGGCATCAGACATCTCACTAGCCCATGCATGTCACCCAAATCGAACGGTCTCGCAGAACGGGCGGTGCAAACTTTTAAAAATGGTTTTTACAAGCAGGTTACTGGATCTGTTGAGACCAAAGTGGCCCGGTTTTTGTTACATTACCGGACTACACCTCATACGCTGACCTTACGCTCTCCGGCGGAGCTGTTTCTGGGTAGACAACCCCGTACTCACCTGAGTGCAGTTAGCCCCGACTTGAGTCAGCACATCCGTGACAGACAGTCCGAGCAAAAAGAGTACCGTGATAGGGGGGCATGTGAGCGTGACCTGTCGATCGGGGACAAAGTGTATGTCTCGGCTGTGGATCGTTTGCGGGGGGTCGAACGGTGTCGCTGGGTGCCTGGTGTCGTGCTTGGTGTGAACGGTGTGAAATTCACTATCGAACTCGCAGACGGTAGGATTGTTGTCCGACATGCTGATGTTGTCAGGAGACGGTATAGCGAGCATACTGTGCCGACTTCTTCAAACGTTGTGTTTCCTTCCAGCCCCGTGGAGCCCGTGATGCCACCCGTGCCACGTCCACTCCTGGTTCCCGTGTCGGCCGCACCGGTTCCAGCCGTGCCGGCCACCGGAGCCCCGCCGGATCCCGCACCGGTGCCGGCCGCTGCTCCCGTGCCCAGCTCCGGTCCGTCACACCGGCCGCAGCCCGTCACTGACAGCTGCTCCAATGGACCCGGGGAGTCGAGACCAGCTCTCCCCGTCGTACCATCCACTGGCACGCCGGGTGGCTCCACCGGCCACCACGGGTACAATCTGAGGAATCGCGCGACCTTGCGAGCTCCGGATCGATATTGATGGGCACGTGTGTATGACTCGGTTTTCGCAGAAGTGTTTTCTTCGGTTATGTTCTTGTTACGGTGATGGTTTTGTAACCAGGGGGGAGGAGTGTTGTGGTGCACAATGCTGCTGTGCCCGGGCCGCTGCTCTGGTCCCAGTGCACCATGCCGGCGCAGGCAGCGCCGGCCAGCGGACGCCTGATTGGTCGCCTCAGGCGCTGTGTCTGTGAGCCCCGTGACCGGCCGCAAATACACAGTCTGGAACGGAGCCTCTGCGTTACAACAGCCACCCTTTTTAGAAACAGTACCAACAAAAACCTTATTTACTATACTTTTTGTGTACCCCCAATCTCAATGATCTGTATCCGCCTATGATTTTTGAAAATGCATATTTTTAGGATCCATGTGAATTCCTGGTTAATTCTCTATCGATCGGCAAAAGTTGCGTTAAGATTGCAGTTCAGAAACCTGGCCGTGATAAACAGTCTAAAATGTATCTGCAATTTGCCCGTTTTTACCCCCCTCTACCCTCCCCCTTTTGACATTTTTTAATTTTTATTTTTTAGAAATGTAGATCACGTTGAGCGAAATCGAATGCCGTTTGAATTTTGAAAATCGGCCCGTTAGATCTCGAGATATCAAGGGGGGTCGTAAGCAGCCCCCCCTGCCACTAATAGGGGTAGCCAGGAGCCTGCCACTAATAGGGTTAAAGGGCCTACCCTTTAACATGGGGTTTGAGTTGAGATAGCCAAGTTTGCGGCGAGGTTCAGAAACCACTATCTATCTAGGTTGCAACCCCCGCGGCCTCTTGGTGTTGAAGAAATTCGTTCCCTTCATTTGAAAATGGGCCTTGTACAAGGCCCTATCTTCAACATGGAGCGACCGTTAGTGTGACGTCACCTCGTTTAGTCATTCTGATTTAAATGGGTTTGTTCGTTGAAAAATCGCTTAAAACTTGGTCTGAACTTTGTTGTGGTGCCTACAGAGTAAAAAGAATCAGCTTTATGACAGTAATGTGGCCTGGGGAAGGAGCTAATTTTGGGCTGTGACGTCACATATTTGAAAGTTTGTGTAGAATATGGGAAGCCTAAGATGTTTAATGAAAAATAAATGCCAAATGCCAAATGCCAAAGTTTTGTTCCTGGTCATCCAATCTATAAAGTCGGGCACAATTTAACTGGGCTTGAAATGATCTCACGCATGTCAAAGTGTTTTTATTTTAGGCAAAATAAATATCTAAAACAGTAAAACAAGCTTTCGGCATTACGCCATCATCAAGTTTTGGCGTAATGCCTTGATGATGGCGTAATGCCGAAAGCTTGTTTTACTGTTTTAGATATTTATTTTGCCTAAAATAAAAACACTTTGACATGCGTGAGATCATTTCAAGCCTCGTTATATTAATAATAATCATGCCATCCATCCTCGCCCACATAAAAACAATTTAACTGGTTTTAACAACATTTTAGAAGGTGGGATAGTCCCTTTAAGATGGCAGCTGAAGTAAATTCGTTCACGAGACGTGGAATACTTTCAACCATCAGCTCTATTTTTAATGTTAATGCAAGACATTGTGGGACGAACCGCTGTCAGAAGAAGCACAAAGAAGTTAGACCAGTTGGTTTCATTCTATGCATAGTCTTGCATGTTTCAGTGTTGAAAGTTGTTTTGGACCAAACAAAGTTTCAAAGTTTTGTTGTGATCGACCGCTTTTTGCGCGAGTTATTTGAGAAAAAAACAGATGGGGTCCATTCGACCCCCCCCCCCGCCTATACAGGGCTAATTGTGTAAGTGCGAGGGCTAATGTAAGTTAATCGTTTGCGCCGCTCCACTGCTGTACTTGGCTATTATTTTGTTTTTGTTTGTCGATAAAATGAACTAAAGCTGCGCCACTGAGCTGACGGAGCTGCTGGCTGACGGTCTGTGCTGCTGGCAGCTGACGGAGCTGCTGGCTGACGGTCTGTGCTGCTGGCAGCTGACGGAGCTGCTGGCTGACGGTCTGTGCTGCTGGCAGCTGACGGAGCTGCTGGCTGACGGTCTGTGCTGCTGGCAGCTGACGGAGCTGCTGGCTGACGGTCTGGACGGCGGCGCCTCGGACGAGGTGGGGTGGCTGTGCGCCCGCGGCCTGGCTGAGCTGTTTGGCCTGCAGCGGCGGCGTGCGGCCGGTACGGCGCCGCCGGCCGCTCTGCTCACCGCCCTCCTGCCGACCGCATGGACGGAGGCCACCGCCCACCACCTGGCCGCCCTGCTGCCGCACATACTGCCACCAGGTGGGTCTCTGCCCAACTGGCAATACTATCTAATCTAATTTACTTTAAAGGAAGACCTTAATGCAATTAAGGTTTATATGCATGCGCTGACTTCACCTGTCATTGGGTTTTTACCCGTTGGTGATCAATACATCATACAATTGTTTCAAATTATTGGTTGATGTGTTAAACAGTGATTTTTGTAGCTTGAATGTGTAACACTTTATGTAATTTATTTTTAGGTCAAACATGCTGTTAGATCTTGAAAATCGTTGCACCTGATTGTACAGTCGTGTACAGGTTGATGGTCCGCTACTCTTTATCCACCGGGTTCCTATGGCTCAGCATTGGCAGCAGCCGCCTGGTACCGGTAGGCTGTGCCGCATGACTCGAAAGTTAGGCGGCACAGTCTACCATCTTTGTTTGACATCGGCTCGGGTCGCCGGGTGGAGCACTTTGTAGACCAGCTGTTGCGTCAGACCAGCGCGGGGGGAGGGGCTCGTCTCGGTGGTTGGCGTGGGCTGGCGAGTGGTGTGGGGCGTTTGGTGGACCATGGGGGCTGGGCGGGTGTGTGTGGTCACTTGCTGCATTGCACATTTTGCATCGCTTAACAATTGCATTCCTGTTTTTGTTAAGCACAATGCACGGAAGACCCAGCGAATACAATTTACTTTACTTGTGCATCGTGCAAAACGTGATTTGGCACGGTATCGAGGCAACCATAGGTCTTGTGCCACATATATGCATGCTATTTAGGCAATACGTTTATGAAAATGGTAGATTGATTCTGGATGTCAATTCGTATGCTAAATGTCGACATGTATTAAATGAACGAATGAATGAATCAATCAATCAATCGACAATCGACATGTAGGTATAAAACCGTTAAAATGGCTCGCAACCACTAAAATCAAACCAGATCCTAACTCGGAAAAGCAGCCGGAGCCCCGATGAGGCTCGAACCGGTACTCCACGTTGAAAGTTTTGCCAATGATCCATCATCATTCCACCAAGCTAGAGCGACCGGCACCTGAACCACCAAAAAAATTAATTGACTTTGCCGCCGCCCGCCCGGCCCCGCCGCCCGCCCGGCCAGACTTTGTCCCGACCATAGCCAACATCCGGTGTAGCCCAGCGTAGGAGTGCGCGACTGTCAAACTGACCGGTAGTGAGGGACCCGGTTCGAGACGCTTCGCGTGCTGGATGTTTATTTCTGTGTGGGAGGCTTTGCGATTAGTCCACTTTTCAGAAAGATTATTTGGTGACTGACCTGTTTTCTTTCTTTGCTGCAATTCATGAGGAGACCGTATGGACTAGTAATGTCAATTACGGAAAATCGGAATACCGATACCAAACCAAATACCAACCAAAACCGTGGAGAAATACCGAAACCAAACCAACTTGGGAACATGAGGAAAATACCAACTTTTTACCGATTTCTTAGCCTCTTAAACATCAGCGAGGGTTCATAATACCAACAAAATACCAAACACATTAGGATTGAAATACCAAATACCGAGTTGGTATCGGTTTGTTATCGGTATACCAAAAAGTTAGTATCCGATTGACATCTCTAGTATGGACCCTTACCTGTCCTTCCGCACCCCACTTGGGAGATGGGTGTTTGAACCCCCCTGGGTTTTGTGAATGTCTCTAAAACGAATTTTTGGAGGGGGGATTACGATCGGTTCTATTCGACAAGTGACCACACACACCAAGCCCCAGGTCCGCTCACTCCCTCCCCACATTACCCCCCGCCCCACACCACACCACACTCCAGCCCGCCTTATCCACCGAGCCGAGCCAAATCGACAGGCCTGACCCTTACCCCCCCCCCCCCCCAGCCGGTGTAACGCAGCGTCCGGTCAAATCGCTATAACAGGCGACCCGAGCCGGTGTCATACAGTGTGGGTAAGCTGTGCCGCTTCACTCACGGGTCATGCGGCACAGCCTACCGGTACCAGGCGGCTGCTGCCAATGCTGAGCCATACTGGAACCCGGTGGATGAAGAGTAGCGGACCATCAACCTGTACACGACTGTACTATTTTCTCGAGAATATGCGCGCGGAAATGTTTGCCATGAAATATTTTTGCAATGAGTTATGCAGTCAAAGGTTGAATATTTATCGTGGCATTTTAAGCTTTGTATTATGATGAAGAGCTGTGCTCGAAATTATTTACTCTCGCCCTGGCAGGGCAGGGGGGGGGGGGGCGCACTGGAGTGCCTGGAACATGAACTATGCACGTGCAGTTAACCCGCGCCCTGGTGGGGGGGGCTATTTTTGCCCCCCTCCAGACTTTTCGTAATATCTCCAGAACTGCTGCGCCGATCGTCACCAAACTTTCAGTACCCTCCCGGACATCAATTTTATACATTTTGACCAAACATTTTTTTTTCAAAGGCTATGATAGGTTGGCCGGAAATGACGTCAGAGTGACGTCATGTTCTTCCGTTTTTGACCCAAAAAAGGGTTTCGCGGGAAGAGCTGTCAGGCCTATAGCTTTGCAAATACAGAAAAATGATAAGACACGAAAGCTGTAGAATTGACAGGGCTACAAAACTGCTATCTCGGATTTTTGAAATTTTTGGATTTTGACCCCAAAAAAATCAATTTTTGTAATATAATTGCCGAAAAACCCAAAAAGTTTTTTGAATTTCGAAAAAAAAACGGGATATATGTGATAGTCCTTACCACCTTCTATCCACATACCAAATTTGACATCGATACCTCTTTTTTTGGCCAAGTTAAGGAAAAAACTGTTCAAAATTGATGACGTCAAATTTTTAAACTCAATTTTTAACCATTGTAGCGCAAAACAAAGACCACCATTAGACTCCCCGTGACGAGCTGCATCGAATCAATATCAATTTTTTGCAAAGCTCTCAACTTTAAAATTTGACCTTTTTTGACCAGACCTTGACCTGACCTTCACCAGAAACTAGAAAGTGAACTAAGCCGTACTTGATGGTCTTATAACCAACACCATTGAGTTGGAAATGAAAAATTGGCCATAAAACATGCATCGCACAACCTTAGTAAAACTGGGTTCCTGTGCTGACCCTTGGTGACCTGACGTGTGACCTGACCTGTGACCTGACCTGATATTGTCAGTGACCTCAAATAGCAAGATATGTAAAGGGTGTCTCAAAAGTTCGTTAACACATTTTCCATCATGCCAATAAAGCATATAAGAACCGGCCAAAAATCTAAGGTTTTGGTGTCTGTGTGTACACTAGACAAATATGCATGCTTTGACAACTGATTCAGAGGGTTGAAAACCAAACCGTTTGCTTTATCTCCAAAAATATTTGCCCATACCGATTTTCGTCGCTCCGTCAGCTGCCTGAGGCTGATAAAAGGTTACCAGCTTTCAAGCTCTTGTAGGGGAATCCCCTGCAGTTTCTGCGTCGGATTTAGGTTTGACGAGCTCCCCGGCAACATCCGCTTCTCCCTAAAAGCCGACAGCTTGCATCGACACCATCCGTGAGTATTTTGTAGGTTTTCTCTGGCGCTAACTCCTTCATGAATGACTGGCGCCGACCTCCGAAGCACCATTTTCCTTTTCAAAACAACCCCATTCCTGAACAAATGGGAAGTGCCAGGGCAAATTTTTCGCAGCATATCGTAGCAGAATGCGTGTCGGCCATCTGTTTCTTAGACACATTTTGCAAATTTTGCAAAACCCAAACGCTCGTCATTCCCCATGCCAAGACCTTCGCTGGGTTCCGGATTGTTTTCCTCAGGAGAGGTTCTGCTTTGTAAACGGCCGAGTCCTGTCCATCGTGCGGTTTTGTCCGGATTTTGTGTGTAAAAGAAAGCCATTTGCTCCAGATCTGCCTCTTGAAACTTCGTAAGATAAAACTTTACATTAATTGACACTTTTGGAGGGTCACTTGTCCTCGGCATTGACGATTTTCGTGTTATTTTCCCCAAAAATTTAGCGTATAGGTATTATAAACAATTTTAAATGACATTTTGTCTTTATTTTATTATGACCTGCAATTTTTGCAGGTCATAGCAAGGGGTAATCAGGGGCTCTGAATCCTCCTGTAACAATTTCAGGCTTATCAGACGAGTGGTTCTTGAGTTATAGTGTATAACATGTTTTGGATCTTGCGTTGCAGCCCCAAGTTTGGCGGGCTGTAACTCTAAGACGGATAATCCAAATGCCAAATGCTATACGGCATTGAACTTGCATTGAAACAAAGAATAATATGCATTTTTAAAATTTTGAAATATATACTATTTTTTATATATAACACCTCGAGTTTCCTTTCATTTGCATTTTTATGCCTTTGGGACCAAATTTTTTCGAATTTTTATTTGCTTAAAAATATTTTTGGATCATTTTTAAGTAGTATGCAAAAAATTAGGAAGGTGTTCTTTCTATAAATGTACTTATTTTGCGTCACCGTAATGGTCTCGAATTGTGATTTTGGAAGAGAGCCTACAAATGGTGTGGTAAAGCTGCCTAGTGACATCACTGGTTACTGAAAGTTCAATTGAAGTCATTTTTGCCTCACTTTTGCGTTGTTGACCTTGCGTGACGTCATTCGTACGTCACTAGGGTCATAAGAGTTTTTCGTCAATAACTCTCGATCAAATTGAGCTAGAGAGACGGGAAGGCTACCAATGGACTCGGGAAGACCTTGCGAATCGAATGATGTGCAAAATGATCTCATTCACCCAGCTTCGTGGCCTGACCCGACTGTTAACCATCTCTGTAGCGGCGCTGTTTGTCCAGCGCCGCGCTGGTTGGCTTTGCCGTGGACTCGGGGCGGTCACGTGATGCCCGGGGGCCAGCTGCCGGCTGGGCCGCCCGGTCGGGGCGCGGAGCCAAATACACGGCAGTGTGCTTACCCGAGGTCAGCGACTTAAGCTGACTTCACCAGAACAAACAGTATACCATTCGACGCGCCGGAGCTAGGCAGACACTAAGATGCTAAAATCGCGGCTCTGCGACCATTTGTTGCGAAGTTATCTATCAAAAACCGGACCCGTAATTTTGGGTCACTTGAAATGACCTCAGGGGTCACCAATGAACCCGAGACCTTAAAATTTGGTATCATTCGATGCATCTTGTAACGGCGCACATGCTCGTTTTTTCCGCAAGGTTCTAGCTCCATTAGAGGCGAAACGGCGAGCTGGGGTCGTATCGACCCCCCGGAAACCCATTTTGTATACATTTAAATGAGGAACTTATAGAAAGAACACCTTTCTAATTTTTTGCATGTCGATTTTAAAGGACCTGAGGTTTATTTTGAAGAAATAAAAATGGCAAAAATTTTGGTCCCAAGGGTCATTATAGACAATTTAAAAAAAATACTACGACTTTTATCAATATGTAAAGCTTTTCTTTCCAATTTTAAAAATACTGTATTTATCTTTGATTCATCGTTAATTCAAAGCTGTTTACCGTTTGTTGCTTGCTTAGCTCGTTTTTGAGTTATAGCTCATCAAACTCACCCTTACAATCTGAAGTTAAGAAAGTATTATGCAATGTAACTCAAAAAGTTTTCATCTGAGAAGTCTGATATTTTGGCAGGTGTTTTTGGAGCCTATGATTACCCCTTGTACCAATTTTCATTCAAATCTGAGAGATGAGGGTGACGGGCCTGGTACGATCTATCGTGGAATGCCCCACCTGTCAACGAACTTTTGAGACACCCTGTACTAGGCAACTGACGCCCTATCGCTGATTCTCGACAAAATGCGTTTTCCTCGGTGTTATAGCGATTTCGCTAGAAGACCCGCGAACAGTGAAACATTTCATCTTTGACCTGGCCTGTGACGTCATCGGTGACCCCGAGGTCAATGCAATTTTACTTTCCCTCGACAAATTTGACGGGCCTTTCGAGCGCCGTTTGAATTTTACGGATCCGTCCAGTAGTTTCGGAGATATGAGGGGTGGGGCAAAAAATACCCCCCCCCCCCGCACCAGGGCCTCGTTTCATAAAAGGAATTACTTACGGCGTTCCGTCAATTATGCCAGATTTGTCGTATTTGATGCCAATTCGGTTTCATAAAGCCGGAGACCGGAGTAATTCACGCCATCGAAATTACTGAGCTTCATTTACGGCAAATGCTCGAATCCGGACCAATTGATGCCATTTGGGTTTCATAAAACGACGTGATTAACGCCAAATATTTGATCAAGTTCTTGATATCAGTGGTGTAAACTACGCACAGAAATGTTGCGTGAATTTGAATTAATGTGAAGATTTGAAGCTAATTTTTAATATATTTTATAATGTTGAGCCCGGTGAGGAAGAAAGAATAGCCAAAATGAGAAAAAGAAACTGCAAGTCTTCTGTACCAGTCGCTTTTTGTGGCAGCTATCGGAATTTTGTTTATTCGCCGCGCCGCGCCACTTTCGTAGTAAGGCACTTCTGCTTAGCTGGCTTTCTGCTGTTTTCAATATATTGATTTAATGAAGGATGGTCATCAATATCAATTTTGTTTTTTTCATAAATAATTTTTAAGATAAAAATTCAACATAATTGTTTTATAATTTCTTGTAAAAAATAAGTGTTGACACGAAATTGTAATTTGTAGGACGCTTGATAAATTACGGCAACTACGCAAATGTGCTTAGTTACGGAGCTGTAAACAATGCCAGTTGTGGCTTTGTGAAACCGCTTCATTTGCGCTCCGTAGTTTGAAAGGGTGTGAATTACGGAAAGGTGTAAGTTACGGCAGAGTTTTATGAAACGAGGCCCAGGTCGCGTTATAAACAGACCCCACCAGGGCGCGGGTTAATTCATATCTTACTGTAGGTAGATATCCACACCAATCTCGCGTGCTTCCAAGCATTTGTGGGATGTTTCGGTTGGTTTCAGGTTCAGTCCGAGCTCAGTCTGAGTTTCGGTGGTTTTGCCCGGTGTGTGCCCTCAGTTCCGTTCCTCCAATTCTGGCCCAAGGCAACGCAAGAGCGCTGCCGGCTCTAGTTAGATCCTACTAGTAAACTCAAAGCCAAAGTGAATCATTGATTGATTCAGCGAACGCAAGTAGCAAAAAATCGAGGGCGGAGAATCTGTGCGATCCCCTCCCCTTTAAGTGCAAGGATAATTAAGTGCAAAGGTTAAACCCGAAATGCCTCTTGATGATTGAGTTAGGCATGAAGAAATATCTATTTCTAAAGCGATTGTAGCTCCGATCCACTTTTTGAACGCTTCCACGCCCACGATGCATTACTAGTGCCGAAAACGACTCAGCGCTAAGTCCATGAGGAGGGGTGGGGTGGAACAGGGGAGCCAGCCATGTTGTCTGGGATCAAACACCCTTAGCCCAACCATTTGAAGGCTAAATAAAGTTAGTAAATGTAGCGTAGTGTGCGATACGAATCAAATCGTGGTAGGATGGATAAAGTCTCGCCGCAGTGCGGCGGTCGGTCTCTGTGTGTCTGTCTGACGCCGTTTTGGTGATGTCCTCCTGACAGAGGCGGCGGCCGCGCTGGCCGAGGCGGCGGCCGTCTCGCACTGGGAGTACACGGCGGCGGCGCTGCGGCAGCTGGCCGCGCTGCTGGCCGGCCTATCGCCGGGGGTGCGCCGCGCCGCGCTGGCCGCGCTGGCCGCCCGTCTGGCCAGCGCCCGGGTGTCGCTGCCAGCGCGGTGCGCAGCCGCCGCGCTGGCCTCCACTGTGCTGCGCAGCCACAGCCACGGCGCCGTCCAAGTGGTGCGGCTGATACGATCGCTGCTCGACCGCCAACAGGTGAGGCCGCTCACCTGCTCACCAAAGCTTCCAATCCACATCTCAACAACGGCCGGGAAGATTGCGCCCAAATTTGGCGCACCGCAAGAGACTGGTTTGTGGGATGCAGCGCGCAATTCATGATTGATTTTTCTTATAGCTGCTCCTCTATCCTTTCTTGATGTCCACTGAAAATTTCAAATTTCTGTGGTTTTTGATTTCGGAGATGACCTCATTTTTCAGGTCATGTCATGACCCAAATGACCAATTCTCAACATCTTTCGTTGGCTATGGGCTTTGTGAGCTTTTGACACCTTGATTTCGGCCTGTTTTGCCAGTCTTACCTCCCACCTATCATGGAACATGTTGTTCGACGATGTACAGATGTCAAGGTCAGGGTCAAGGTCAACCTAGGTCATCTAAAATAATTGCGTTTTAGGCAAGCGTAATTTACTTTTCGTGAAGTTTTTTGACTGCATTTTTGGTAAAAGCTTCTCAGATCATGATTTCATGTAATATGGACACATAAACACACGGTGCACACATCAGTATACACACAGACACACACAGACATACAAACACATATATTTGACCTTGACCTAACTTGACCTGAAATGACCTCAGCAGCAAAAATCTGGTCGGGTAGTGTTACAAAGAGGTTCTAGCTGGCTTGGCACCAGAAAACGGCATCGTCATCGGTATATGCTAAGCAGCGCACTTGATATCCATCGGTGACCCAAAACAGCAACATTTTTTAGTTTGACCTGACCTGGAAGGTCAATGACTGACCTGAGAAGGTAAAACTGGGTATCATTGGATTCGTCTCTTCCCAAAGAATCTTTTTGGTCTATACCGCGAAGCTCTATCTCCAACAGGAACGAAATGGCGCGGGGGGGGGGGGTGGCAACCCCCCCCCCATGTGCGTTCTAGGATTGGAAAATGGCATGTGCGGGCGAGGGTTAAAAGAATACTGATGCTGGTCAGTTCGACCGTACAATTGAGAACTCAGGCACTTCAGCGGCTCAGGTAAGTACACCCTTGGGTACACCTACCCAGGGCTGTAGTTCGGTCCTCTGGGTGGGGTGACAGCTACAATAAGCCACACATTTTAGAGTATTCACAATACTCAAGCAAGACCCCCACTTACAGTCATCCTCCCGTGCTACGCAAAACGACAGCCGAAGGGGCTCACCAATTCACCATGGCCTTAGAGGACCTCAGGGGCGGTGCTTCCTATACAGTTGGCGGGGCGGCTGCCCCACCAACTTGGTATTTTGCCCCACCAACTTTGGCTGATTTCTAAGACTTTGTTGCTTTGCAAAGTAATTTTTCGCATTGAAGAGCTTTGGATGTCTGTTAAATGTAAAATATTATGTCCGTAATGATAGGAATTGATTCAGTGTGGCATTCTATTCAACTTTATAATCGGACATTGTGGGTTTGACGACTTTTTGTCCCACCAACTTCCCTGGAAAAGCTCCACCCATGGTCAGGACCTGATGCTGGTGTGAGAGGACCTCGCCACGATCTGGGATTTGTTTTATTGGGTTAGGCCTTTTCGGTCTGACGAGACCATTTCGGAGCCGGGAGGATGATAGGAATTGGGGGGGGGGGGGATTGGTCTGGGCGAGCACCCTGGTGAGTCGCCGGGGCTGAGCCCGTCCAGAGGGCAGGCCGACCAGCCCCTAAGCACTCACCGCACCCGGTTACGGGTGTGCTCTTATCGGGGGTTCCCGCATGGGATAATGTTGCCCATGCAGCCCGGAACAAGGGGTTGAGGCGTGGAGGAGAGGGATTTGACTGTGCTGAGGATAGAAATGACGGAATGGTGTGTGGTATGAGAGAGTCCAGGAGGTTTTAATACTCAGTGTCGGCCTATATTGGTCTGCCCCTATATACAGCCACCGTCCACCAGTCACAACGGCCAACAAAACCTCCACCTCTTATCCCCCCTGTCCCCCCGTCCTTTGGAAACTGCTAATTCTTATATCGTCATCCACGAATTCCACGTGTACTGTAAACGACTGGCTAAAACGGCTTCATATATTTCGACTAACCAGTTAAGACTTAGCCCTCGCCCTGGCAGGGGGGGGGGGGTCGATGCGACCCCCCTAAGGTTTTTCGAAGATAGCGTAAAAAACGGCGGCGCTTTGGCACAGCCTATGGGGCAACCTTTTTACATATGACCTGAAAATTTCAGGTCCGGGTGACCTTGGGTCAGGTCACCAGGTCAGAAAAACCGGTACAAGTTCACGGTCAAATTTCAATTTTCTTTTTGCACCTGTCCAACTCACAGTTTTGGACTGATTTCCTTCAAACGTTCACGATGTGCTAAGTTCACCAACTTGTATAACATATAGTTCGGGTTTTTTGAGGTCACTGACCTGAGGTCAGTTAGAGGTCATTACGTCGTAATGTTAAGCCTATGGGAAAATACTAAATTCGGAAAATACTGGAGATATCCGCTTCGTTCTATCACTTTTGTGCTTTGAAACCACAGAACTTAACAGCAGGTCACTTGGTGCTTCTTTGTTTGGTGTACTTATCCATGGGTCAGGTCAAATGAGGTCAACTGAGGTCAAATGACGTTTTTGCCAATAACTTGGCACATAATGACGCTAGAGCTTAAAAGATGGTGTCATTGTGTTCCTGGTGATCAGCCGAATCGAATGATATGCGATATGATGCAATTTGGTTAACTTGAACTTAATTAATTAATTAAAGTTTACTTAAAAATTAAGAAAAACTTTAAGTACACTTTAGCAAGCTAAAATGTATATCATTCGACGCACCTTGACGTGCTGAGTTCACTGGTGCTTTTCTTTTTGCCCTATCTTAATTAGATCAAAAGTTATAAGCGAAAAACTTTTGACCTGTTTTTAGCGAAATTTATACATTTATACCCCCAAAACCCCCTAAATATTGAACTAAAGCAACCAAATTTGCACAGGGGCGAGAACTCCAGGGGGCCCACCTACCTACCAAATTTGGTGTTTCTAGGTGCCATAGGAGCCAATCGCGAGGGGGGGGGTCGCATCGACCCCCCCCCCCCTGCCAGGCCGTGTTATGAAAAATGCCCTGCCAGGGCGAGGGTTAAGAGCATGACTTCAAGCCAGAAAATGTCGACTCTGACTTCGGAGTCGAAGTACAAATGAGTTCGGTGACTCCAGCTCCGACTCTGGCCAGAGCTGTCAAGTGAAGCTGACGAGTTGCCAAGGTCTGGCTCCGACCCCGCAGTCATGCAGTTGCACGACACAAAATTTCAAACTTCTAGGAAATAAGTTATACGGTTAAAGGACAACAATTTTTTTAGAGGCAGAGTTACTTGACTTGGTGACCAGACCTTAGGTGTTCTGGCATCGAACTTGTTACACGGGCTGCAAAATCAAGGTGTTTTGGAGCTGTTTTGCCAATTGGCTGTAATATTTTTGAGGCGCTTCACGCCGCTGATTCTTATTCGAGTCAAAAAGTACGGTAACAATACCTAATATCGGGTTTTTAGTCGGCCGATCCGTCCCCCCCCCCCGGGGCTGCCCTTCTGCATTTCAACGGTTGCCAAGATCGTCATGTAGAAGGCACCTGAAAATTCCGAGCACTCGGCGAAAAAAAAAAACTGGCTAAAAGGCCAACTCAAAAGAATCATCTGGAGTCTGGGACGATTGTCCGTCGATGGACAAACTTGTACTGGAGGTCCATAAGGCTCATGTAAGGCCAAAGTTAGCGGGATCTAGCCATGCTGTGTCATGTGCCTTTGAAAAACTTAAGCAGTCAGGGTTGAATAAACACCCCAAACTTTGCCATTCATGCATGAACAAGTGCAAATTCTGGTTGAGCATTTGAATAAAAATGAAACTAACAGCATTGTAGGTTACAATTATAAAAAGACAATTATAAAAAGACAAAAGTAACAGCAGAGCTTACTCTACAAGGCATAACCATTAATTTTGTAACTGACATCCAAATTCGCACCTCCTAAGTTTAACCCACCTACCAGCCACCTGCACATTTCTAAATTGATGAAATACTAGGACTTACTCCACAAGGAGATCGAATGGGTCGGAGCGCTTTCAATATGTATTATACATATCGTCGTCAGCGAATCAATAACGGGTCGAATCGAGTCGGGTATCGAAGAGGTTCGGGAGCTGCGCGGCAGAGCGATCACATACTATTCGAATTATGCATTAAAGAGAATAAAAAACACGTGAGAACAATCATGATACACTAGCTGCTAAAATGAATTAAAATGGGGTGCTAAAATGCATAAATGGCACGTATAAAAGTACAATAAGGGGGGGGGGAACAGGATACCTATGGTGATAAAGACTGAGTAGAAAAGGGAACAAAGACTATACAAAACTGAGTGCAAAAACTGTAAAAGGACGAGTACAAATATAAATACATACAAAGGCCGAACTAGACGTAAACACTACTGACAAAAACGGCGGATTATCGGCAGCCAGCGGTCATGCAGCAGGGCACCCGAGTTCCTGTTCACGTTTGCGTCATTCGGCGACACCAGGACGGCTTCACGCCGACCAACAGTCCGAATATAGGCCGATTCCAGGAGAAGTCGCATCTGGTGATGACTGGCTCGATTCAAGATCTTGATGGCATCGAAAGCAGGTGAGCAGTCTCTATGGGTACTGAAGGCCGATGTATTGGCTCTCGAGCGGACTGCTCCAGTCCAGCTCTCCCGGTGTTCTCGGAGTCTCGTGCCCAGCTCACGATCTGTCTCGCCGATATAGACCATTGGGTCACCGTCCACTTGGCAGGAGCACTCGATCCGATAGATGACGTTGCTCTGTTGTAGCTTAGGCAGTTGGTGCTTAGCCTTGCTGCAGAGCAGCGAGCCGATGGTGACTGAAGGCTTGGAGACGAGCTGGATCCCGATCTTGCTGGCCTCCCGTTTGAGTTGGTAGAACAGGGGGCCGGCAAACGGAACAGAGACTCGGACAGGCGCCGGGTGTGAGTTCGCGCTAGGTGGCGCTGGTAGGGCCCTTGCCTTCAGTCTGAGATCGGTCCGAGTCTTCTGAATGGCCGAGTCGATGAATGATCGTGGGTAGCCATGATGATGAAACTTCTGGCGGATGAAGTCAAGCTCCTGCTGGCGGTCTCTCATGGACGAACAGTATCGGATCGCTCGAGTGCAGTCAGATCGAATGGCCGCTCTCAGGTAGCGGGTCTCGGTGTAGGAGCTGAAGGCAGGCACTTGGTTGGTGTTGCAGGACTTCCTGTAGACCTTGGTGCAGAACTTGTCGTCTCTTCTAGTGATGCAGATGTCAAGATACGGTAGCTGTCGGTTTACTTCCAAGTCAGTGGTGACATTGATGCTGGAGTCCTTGCTGTTCAGCTGGTTGACCCACGTGTTGAGGATGTCGTCACTGCCCTCGAACAAGACCAGGTAGTCGTCCGCGTATCGGCAGAAAGCATGGACCCTGCCACCACAGTTGGCCGCCAGGAGCTCCAGATCAGCCTCCCAGTGTCCCATGTACAGGTCAGCGACCACCGGAGAGTAGCTTTTGCCCATGGCTAGGCCGGTAGTCTGCCTGAACCATCGCTCCTTGTCACCGTCTTGAATGACCGCATGGCAGTTCTGGATAGAGATGTTCAGCAGGTCAGCGACTGCGTCGGGCTTGAGACAAGTTACGTCGGAGAGGGCGTCTCTGTTGTCTCGCAGCTGAGTACGAATCAGTGAGATGGCTGTCTGAGTAGGTATTGACGGGAACATCGCCTCCACATCCAGGGAGACGAGACAGGGTCCATCGCCTCCACATCCAGGGACAGAGACGAGACGAGAGGCAGGGTCCATGCTTTCTGCCGATACGCGGACGACTACCTGGTCTTGTTCGAGGGCAGTGACGACATCCTCAACACGTGGGTCAACCAGCTGAACAGCAAGGACTCCAGCATCAATGTCACCACTGACTTGGAAGTAAACCGACAGCTACCGTATCTTGACATCTGCATCACTAGAAGAGACGACAAGTTCTGCACCAAGGTCTACAGGAAGTCCTGCAACACCAACCAAGTGCCTGCCTTCAGCTCCTACACCGAGACCCGCTACCTGAGAGCGGCCATTCGATCTGACTGCACTCGAGCGATCCGATACTGTTCGTCCATGAGAGACCGCCAGCAGGAGCTTGACTTCATCCGCCAGAAGTTTCATCATCATGGCTACCCACGATCATTCATCGACTCGGCCATTCAGAAGACTCGGACCGATCTCAGACTGAAGGCAAGGGCCCTACCAGCGCCACCTAGCGCGAACTCACACCCGGCGCCTGTCCGAGTCTCTGTTCCGTTTGCCGGCCCCCTGTTCTACCAACTCAAACGGGAGGCCAGCAAGATCGGGATCCAGCTCGTCTCCAAGCCTTCAGTCACCATCGGCTCGCTGCTCTGCAGCAAGGCTAAGCACCAACTGCCTAAGCTACAACAGAGCAACGTCATCTATCGGATCGAGTGCTCCTGCCAAGTGGACGGTGACCCAATGGTCTATATCGGCGAGACAGATCGTGAGCTGGGCACGAGACTCCGAGAACACCGGGAGAGCTGGACTGGAGCAGTCCGCTCGAGAGCCAATACATCGGCCTTCAGTACCCATAGAGACTGCTCACCTGCTTTCGATGCCATCAAGATCTTGAATCGAGCCAGTCATCACCAGATGCGACTTCTCCTGGAATCGGCCTATATTCGGACTGTTGGTCGGCGTGAAGCCGTCCTGGTGTCGCCGAATGACGCAAACGTGAACAGGAACTCGGGTGCCCTGCTGCATGACCGCTGGCTGCCGATAATCCGCCGTTTTTGTCAGTAGTGTTTACGTCTAGTTCGGCCTTTGTATGTATTTATATTTGTACTCGTCCTTTTACAGTTTTTGCACTCAGTTTTGTATAGTCTTTGTTCCCTTTTCTACTCAGTCTTTATCACCATAGGTATCCTGTTCCTCCCCCCCCCTTATTGTACTTTTATACGTGCCATTTATGCATTTTAGCACCCCATTTTAATTCATTTTAGCAGCTAGTGTATCATGATTGTTCTCACGTGTTTTTTTATTCTCTTTAATGCATAATTCGAATAGTATGTGATCGCTCTGCCGCGCAGCTCCCGAACCTCTTCGATACCCGACTCGATTCGACCCGTTATTGATTCGCTGACGACGATATGTATAATACATATTGAAAGCGCTCCGACCCATTCGATCTCCTTGTGGAGTAAGTCCTAGTATTTCATCAATTTAATTCCATCTCCACATCATGTCATTATGCACATTTCTATGTGCTGCGCAGTGTTTACAGTCACTACACATTACAAAATTATGAGAATTAAAATAGTTTTGAACAATCAAGCAAGTCAGGACTGGTATGCAGATTCACAAGTTCTCTCAACATCTTCAACTACCAGCAATCAAGAGCACCTTGTGATCTCATGGTAACTCCGCAGATCCATCTTCTGTTTTCCATTTTCAGTTTTCAATTGAAATATAAGTTCCATCTGGGAGACACATGTTGCATCATTATGTTTAAACAATTATTATGCTTGAACTTTTGGTTTTTCATGTGAACTTCACTTCAAAAGTTGATTCAATATTTAAAGTTGATATAATTTGCATAATGCTACGTTCACGGCGCACTAAATCACATATAGCTTGAAAATAACCAAGCAAAAGCCATATTCTTCAGCAAACTATGAGATCTATCTGATCCATGCTGCGTTGAAATAATTAAGGATCGCCAAAATCAGTCAAAATATGACAATTAAATTAGTATTAACTTCATAAAACTCTTATTTGTGAGGCAATGCGCAACAGAAATGCGAGGGAATTTGGTAGTAATCTGGTAGCAATTATGAAGGATTTCCCCTGTGGCTGATAAAAATCAATGGAAACAAATTTTTTAACGCAGAGGAAATCCTTCATTATGAGTTGCAGGGACCATTTGATTGGCCCATTTTAGTTAAATATAGGCCGAATGTTTCGATTTCAACCCCATTTATCGTAATGAGACGAATCCATTGGCTTAGTGGTATGTCTTTTGAACACATATAGGCCTTGGATTTCTCCTTAGCCTGCCTGAAACACACCATGATTTGCATGCATTGCTATGGGTGAAGGAAAATTCTTACGCCGTGATGACGTCACGGTAAAGGAATTCTGAAGCTCGTGAACGGGGGCTGGATTCAGTCGCCGATGGGTGGTCACCATGTCGGCGACAAAACGACGCCAGTCGACCCGAAAACTGGCAAAATAGCTTACGGTGGTCGGGTACCCAATCTAAGATATCACGATTTGCACATAAATCTGTGAAAATTCGAAAATAAAGTCAAACAAACCTTTGAGTTAACCCATATTCACGAATAAACAGCAGGATTGTCGGTGGAAGTTTTCTAAAGACCACCAAAGCTGGACAGAGAAGGAAATACGGCACATTAATAATACAGCTGTATTCTCAAAACAGAAAGGTCCTAGTGAACCGCCCGGAAGTATTGAGTCTTTTCTTAGTTCTGTTTGACTTGCTGTACTGAAACTTTCCGCCCCGACACCATGAGATAAAGCACCCCGATCGTGTGAAATAAGACCACGCACTCATAACTTCCCACCGCCCAGCCGGCCGCCCGGCAGATGTCCTGGCGCGCGGGGCCGATAAGGCGCTGCCGCCGGCGCGCGGCGTCGAATTCTCGCCCTTATTGACACCGGCCGGTCGCCGGGCGTAACATGGTGATTGGTCCTCTTCAAGGCGTTTAGGGAGGCCCTAGCAGTCAATTTTTCTTTAAAAAAGGCATCGTTGGACTCAGAAAACCGGTGATCCTTCAGATCCATCAAATTTCCGGCCAATCTCTATCGTCCTATTATATCCAAAATTGTAGAGAAAGCCGTACATCAACAGCTCTACAGTCACCTATCCAACAACCATCTCCTCTCCCCCACTCAGCACGGTTTTCGGCCTCGTCACTCGACTGAAACCGCGCTGATATCCATATCCGATCACATCCTATCCGCTACCGACCGTGGAGAGCTATCCCTTCTCTGCCTGCTGGATTTGAGCAAATGTTTTGATGTGATAGACCACGATAAATTATTGACTAAATTGCAGCTTCATGGTATCGATACAGCTTGGTTTTCGGCATATCTTCACGGCCACACCCAAAGTGTCAGCCTCACTGACGCTCTGGGTGGAAGAACTACTTCATCTCCGCTCCCCAACAGCATCGGTGTTTTCCAAGGCTCCGCCCTCGGCCCGCTTCTCTATTGCATTTTTGCCAACGACCTTAGCTTGTTCGCCGAGGATGCAGTCGTAGTTCAATATGCAGACGACACCCAAATTTTGGTCAGTGGAAAAAAGTCAAATTCATAACGTATTATACCGGATGGAACAGACGCTAGCTTCTCTTGACCTCTGGTTCCGTGCCAACGGCTTAAAAGTCAATGCCGGGAAAACTCAACTGATGCTGCTGGGTAGCGCTCAAAATTTGCGCAATGCCCCAAATGTTACGGTAAAATTTCGCGATCACGTTATCATTCCCGTTTCGGAAGCACAAAATCTCGGCCTGACGTTCGATCGCAACCTCACCTGGAACACTCACGTCTCTGCCGTCACCCGGCGCTGTTTCGGCATTCTCAGTGGCCTGTCACATCTCAGGGGGCGCCTGCCTCCGTCCGTCATCTCCGTGCTGGTCAACGCCTTGGTTCTCTCGCAGCTTCGATACTGTATCACTGTCTATGGCAACGGTTCGAAGAAGAACCTTGCACTCATTCAGAAGACTCTAAATTATGGGGCAAAAATCATTTTCGGACGCAAAAAGTATGATCACGTGTCGGACCTGCTTGAGAAGCTGCGTTGGCTCAGCGCGGAGAACCTTGTGGTGCATGGCACACTGTGCATGGTGCACAAACTGCTGCGCTTCGGTGAGCCCGAGGTGTTAGCCGCCTGTTTGTCAACCGTGGCTGCCGCTAGGAGCTCACTAGGAGCGCAAGCTAGGGTGACCCGACAGGACCACTCACTATATGTGCTCCGATCTACTATGGACGTCAAACCCCTTGAGACCCCACTTTTTTGCGATAATTTTTAAATGCGTCAACTCTCGTTGACAATATTCTGGCAATGTGTGTTTCAGAACCTGCCGAAACTTTTATTACTAAGGTATTTTGACGCCAAACGATTATGAACGGTACTTCTCATTCACTCGTAATGCTAAGGTCAATTCAGGCCCGGGCAGAGGCTTGCGCTCGGCCACACTCGAGCCCCGCCACCAGCGCCATCTGCTCTTAATATCATCTACCAGCGCCCGCTACCGCTACCAGCTACCGCCCACCATCAAGCCTGAATGGAGCGAGAGACGCGAGTGACCGGTCGCCGGGCAAGGAGCGCCGGAGGGGTAGGGCGGAGCTTAGCGCTGGCGTCATTACGTGGCTCCGCCCCATGAGCGCGTAGCCTCTACCCAAACAGCAGATTCGTTCCGTGAAATTTAACATTACGAGTGAATGAGAAGTACCTTTCATAATCGTTTGGCGTCAAAATACCTTAGTAATAAAAGTTTCGGCAGGTTCTGAAACGCACATTGCCAGAATATTGTCAACGAGAAGTGACGCATTTAAAAATTATCGCAAAAAAGTGGGGTCTCAAGGGGTTTGACGTCCATAGTAGAGCCGAAGCAGGCAAGAGGCGCTTCATCAGCCGTGGTCCGGTTCTTTACAACCGCCTGCCACCCGATTTGCTCGGGCTCCCGGTGCCTGTTTTTAAGCACCGCCTCAGGCGGCTGCTGACGGATCCAACCTGACTGAGTTGAGCTAACCATCTGGTGTGTATGTGTGCTGGTATTGTCTGTATCTATGTTTCTTGTATTATCTTGACTATGATGTATGCGAGTGTGATTGTGATGCTTGTCTCTCTTTATCTTGACTTTGAAACCACCGTTTTAATTTTTGACGAGAGGATGTAATAGCCGCTTTTAGTGGATTTCCTTAATACACGTCTGAGTCTGAGTCTGAGAAAAGAATACCTTACCATACTAGCCATGAGTCAGTTGGTACTCGTTTAGCACGTGCGCACGTGCAAGATGCCGCTTCCACATAACAAGAATGGCTGGGCACATGACGCTCAAATTGGACGATTTTGTAGGGTACCTTGCATTAGTCAGTTGGAGGCATTCCGTTACACTTACGCACGTGCAGGGCTCGCTATCGTGCGTGCTCGTTTGTGACCCCCTATAAAGGCGTCTTGTTTTTTGGTAAGCTCCCTTCTTCTTTTCTTTCCAATCGTTTTTTCCTTTTGTATTACATTTTCAGACTGATATGTCCGACGGCCGTGCTGCTCCAGCTGTGAGTGTTGTGCCTCCGGCAGGTGGAGGGCGATCCCGCGCCACCGGTCACCAGTGAGGTGCAGCTGATCTGTGAGAGGGCCGCCGGCGGCGCGCTGCCGGCGGCGCTGCTGCGCCTGCTCGCTACCGTCGCCGGCGCCGACGGGCGCGCTGGTAAGGCCGCAGGCAGACATTGGTACCACGTGAAATGTGGATCAGTCGATTCACGTTTGGAAGTCGCAAACTGGAATCGACTCGACTCATGACACAAAGTGGGCTTCAACATCATGACTCGATTCAATTCATGACTCGAAGAAAATGGCACAAATGCTGAGTCGACTCAAGATTCAACAGTATGGTGAATGGACTCAAGTCCTAAAGGTCCCAATAAACCCAATAAACAATTTAGGTTAACAATTAAAGTCCCAAAAAAATCCCAATAAACAATTAAATTTCAAACAATGACATTTGAAATTGTAGTCAAACCTATTATCATACTTTAAAAAGTCTTGCTGGCCCCCAGGCCGCAAACTGAAACAAATAATAAATTATCCCGCGCCGGGCCGGTGCTCTGAGATTCCGCGCCGGGCCGCGGGGGGGGGGGGGGTGTTTGAACACCCCCCCTTCTAACTCGGCTCCTGGGCCACGTAGCGACACGCGGTAAGCGGCAATCGAAAGAACGTCAATATAAGGACGAAAACGCTTCGGTCATTTTTTGGGTCAGGTCAAAGGTCAGGTCACCAGAGGTCACCAAAGGTTAAATGTTGACTATTTCAACATTTTGGAAACTCCCAACGGCTATGTCGGGAACCGATAGAGCTACAGCGCCGCAAAAAAGCGCATTCGATAGCCCTTTTACAGACCTTTCTGAGTAATGTTCTCAGATTTGACCTCAGGCCAACAGTTTAGCCTCCAGAGGGCAAAAACTCAAAAAATAGCCGTTTTTACGAAAAACGGTTTTTCGGCAATAACTTTTGACTCAAAAGAGCTATGACATTACTTTTGCCAGCATCGTGTTCCTCTCGTCGAGACGCGTCGAATGAACTATAATTTGACCTTGAAAGGTCAACTTGAAAATTTGACCTCAGGTCAAGGTCATGACCTGACCGGAAAAGGTCATGTTGCATATCAGCCGATCCGCAACGTCGAACCGAACACATCTAAGGCGTTTTTAGCGCTCTAGCGCTCCTCTATCAGAAGTTATCATCGAAAAACTGTTAGATTCTGTTCGTGACCTGAGATGACCTCGGGGACATAACGAGGGGTCACAGTTGCCATTTTCTGGTTCAGTGTGTCTATTTTACCTACATCTCGATGTTTGAGAGTGTCTAGAATAGCGTTCGTGCAAAACAGACGCTTTTCAATTTTCTCCCATTGACTTACATATAATGGAGAGGCCGTAAAATTGACCTGACCTTAGGTCACCGATATCAAAATTCCGAGATATACATTTTATAGATAGTGTTGCTCTAATCAATCGCTGAAAGTTTCAAGGCAATCGTTCAGTCGGTGTAGCTATGACGAGCATTCTTATTTTTTCTGAGGTGAGGTCACTTGGCGTGACCCTGGTGACCTGACCTAAGGTGACCTGGGTCTGAAATTTTCACAACATGTGCGGAAAAGATGCACGAACAGGTGTGCCAAAAACGGCGCCGCCGTTTTTGAGATATCTGCGAAAAACTGCAAGGGGGGTGTTCAAACACCCCCCCCCCCGGCCCGGCGCGGGTTATATTAAAAACATTTTACGCGTATAATGATTGATGTGACGTAATTTATTAAATGAAATGTATTAAATGTCAAGTGTCAGCATGCTAGTGCATACGGAGAGCGGTCACAAAGTTCAGGGCCCGACCATGAAGAAAGAAGCATAGATACGGCATCGACTTATTAGACCAAAAATGTTCATTTTTTCAAATAATCACCGTTAGGGCAAACACATTTCGCGCAGCGCTTCGCGAGAGCCCTCAGGGCCTCAATAACCAAGTGGGTCTTGGACACATCTGGCGCGTCCAAGACGGCTGATTTCGTCTCCCTGCTGTCAGCAAAGTTGCCACTGCTAAGCGATTTTCTCATGTTGGGAAGAGGTGGCAACCAGAGGGTGCAAGGTACGGAGAAAAAAGTGGGCACGACTTCAACTCAAAGCCACAGCTCACCGCTTCGCTTATCGTCACCCCACTCATGTGCGCAGGATCGTTGTCCTGGATCATTTGTTAAACGTCTAGTGACGATTAACAAATTGTTAAACGTCTACTGTTAACGCCAGACCCCTTGAGACCCTAATTTTTCGCGATTATTTTTAAATGCGTGGAATAATTTCAACCATATTTAGGAAGGAGCTGTTTCAAGACCTGCCGAAACTTTTTCTTCAAATACATTTTGTTGTCACTTAAATATTTGTGGCACTTGTCATTGACTCGTAATGTTAACTGTTTTTCCATCCTGGATAGAGGCTTTCATACGTCATATGACATTAGGCTCCGCCCACGACTGCGGCATTGACCCATGCCCATCAGCGACCTCTGTCAAAACGACACCCCTGCCATCTGTAAAGGATTATGAATTTCGCTGACGCTTCACGTGCTATGAATCAATTGCAGCAGACGGTCAAACAAGTGTCAGGCTCTTGTTGACTCTTGTATACCTATAGGACCAAGAGGACCATCACTTCTCAACCTACTACTCACACGTGCTTCGAACAAACGTTAACGATTCCAAACAAATGCGATTTTCGATGTAGGATATCTGTTTGAAATACGAGCGAGCCTTACATATGATGTGAAGCGAAGGCAATTCACTTATTATTGCGTTGTTCGATGGTTGCATAGCGATGTACAAATCGGCAGCTACTTGGTGACATCCGACATCCCAGTATCGCTTTATCTGCAACGCCATAGGCTTTAAATACAGGTGAATATTTAATCTTATGTCAGTTATAGGTATGCCATCTGCCCGTCATTTGCAGCTTGTAAAAAATAAAACAAATATCAGCGAACATATCAGCATTGTACAAGCAATGGGCATTTAGCATTTATGGCTCCTCAGTCATCATGTCGCTCTTTGGACACTGTCAGCCAAGACGTTACGCACAACTCCGCTGGCTTTCGGCACCGCTCGACCGTCCCCGCTCCCCGCCACAGCGAGAGTGACCGCGCGCCGGCCCGAAACCGCCGCAGGCCAAGACCACAGAGGCGGGACTTAGTTGTGACGTCATAACGTATCAAAGACTGACTGGTGATAGCCTCTACACACCGGGTGAAAATCTTGCTCGAAATTTAACATTACGAGTCAATGAGAAGTGCCTGAAATATTGAAATGGCGATAAAATATCTAAATTGTGAAAGTTTCGGCAGGTTTTGAAACGGCCATGTCCTGAGCTTGGTTGAAATTCTTCCACGCATTTAAAAATAATCGCGAAAAATTAGAGCCTCAAGGGGTCTGGCGTTAACAGTAGTAGACTTCTCTTCCATTTGACTGTCTCGCTATTTTCACCAGCATGCGCAGGGAAACGCAATGAAACATCATTTTCTTTTTCTTTTTTATTTGTATTTGCGACTTGAGCTTCAATGAACCTGCCAATTCCAGATCGAGCACATTGTCTGGACCGTTTTTCAAAGCTTTATCTGTCTGCTTCTCTTTGTCTCTGGCTCTGCTGAAATGTGTCGTATTTTTAAATAAAATGTATGTTTTACCTTTAAGCGCCCGAAAGGAATCAGCGGTACGGGATAAAATTATTAAACTGCTCGTAGGTAGAAAAATCATTTAAACGTCTCGCCTATCGGCTCGACGTTTAAAAGATTTGTTCTACCTACTCGCGACAGGGGCGGATCCAAGGGGGGGGGGGTCACATGGGTCATGGCCCCCCCCTTGAGGCCCGAGGGCCCAAAGACCTGCCAGGGGCACCACCGGCCTATCAGGGGTATCACAGTCCTGGGCCTGGCAGGGGCACCACAGGACCGCCAGGGGCACCACAGGCCTAGCAGGGACACCACGGGCCTGGTGCCCCTGGGCCCTGACAGGACTGTAACGCCCCTGACAAGCCTGGAGTGTCCCCGGCAGGCACGTGGTGCCCCTGACAGGCCTGAGGCGCCCCTGCAAGGCCGGTGGTGCCCCTGGCAGGCCTGTGGTGTCCATGGCAGGCCTGTGGTGCCCTTGCTAGGCCTCTGGTGCCCCTGACAGGCTTGTAATGCCCCTGGAAGGACTGTGGTGCCCCTGGGCCCTGACAAGCCTGAGGTGCCCCTGACAGGCCAGTGGTGCCCTTGCTAGGCCTGTGGTGCCCCTGGCAGGCCTCTGGTGCCCCTGACAGGCTTGCGGTGCCCTTGGAAGGACTGTGGTGTCCCTGGGCCCTGACAAGCCTGAGGTGCCCCTGGCAGGCCCGTGGTGCCCTTGTTAGGCCTGTGGTGCCCCTGGCAGGCCTCTGGTGCCCTTGCTAGGCCGCTGGTACCCCTGCGCCCGGAGAGGACTGGTGCCCCTGAAAAGTCTGAAGTGCCCCTCGGCAGGCCCGTGGTGCCCCTGACAGGCCCAAGGTGCCCCTGCGAGGCCGGTGGTGCCCCTGGCAAACCTCTGGTGCCCCTGGCAGGTCTGTGGTGCCCCTGGCAGGTCTGTGGCGCCCCCGGCAGACCTGTGTTGACTGGTGCCCCTGCTAGGTCGCTGGTGCCCCTCACAGACCTGTGGTGCCTCTGGGCCTTGACAAGCCTGAGATGCCTGGCTATGACAGGCTCGTGGTGCCCCTGATAGACCAGTGGTGCCCTTGCTAGGCCTGTAGTGCCCCTGGCAGGCCTCTGGTGCCCCTGCTACCCCTGCGCCCGGAGAGGACTATGGTGCCCCTGAAAAGCCTGAAGTGCCTCTCGACAGGCCCGTGGTGCCCCTGGGCCCTGACAGGCCAAAGTTACCCCTGCGAGGTCGGTGGTGCCCCTGGCAGGCCTGTGTTGACTGGTGCCCCTGCTAGGCCGCTGGTGCCCCTCACAGGCCTGCGGTGCCCCTGGAAGGACCCCTGCCCCTAGGGGTGCTCATGGGCCCAACAGGCCCGTTGTGCCCCTGACAGGCCTGTCGTGTATACTTGCTAGACCTGTGGTGCCCCTGCTTCCTGGCAGGCCTGTGGTGCCCCTGGCGGGCCTGTGGCGCCCCTACAAGGCCGTAGGTGCCCCTGACAGGTTTGTGGTGTCCCTGGAAGGACT